GGGGGAGGGAAGAGAGAGGCAGGAGGAGGAGGAGGAGAAGAGAAAGGGAGAGTGAGAGGTGGGTGGGAGAGAAGAGAAAATAAGAGATGGAGAGAAAGGCAGGAGGTGGAGGAGAGCTGAGAGAGAGAGGGGAGGAGGCAGTAGGAGGAGAGAGAGAGAGAGAGACAGAGCAAGGGAGCTCAAGAAAGAAGACCTGAAAATCCCATCTTATGACGGGCTAATTGGCTAGTGAACATAAGAATGGCCATACTGAAACAGACTAAAGGTCCACCTAGCCCAGTATCCTGTTGTCTGACATTGGCCAATACCAGAGGGAATGAACAGAATAGGCAATCATCATGTGTCAGCCATTTCCACCTGCTGACAAACAGGGGCTAGGGACACCATTCCTGCCCAACTTGGCTAATAGCCATTGATGAACCTAACCTCCATGAATTTATCTAGTTATTTTTTGAATCCAGGTAAAGTTCTAGTCTTCACAACAACCTCTGACAAGAAGTTCCACAGGTTTGACTGGGTGTTGCATGAAGAAAAACTTCCTGTTGTTGGTTTGAAACCTGCTATATATTAATTTCATTTGGTGACCTCTAGTTCTTGTGTTATGGGTACAAGTAAATAACTTTTCCTTATTCACTTTCTCCACACCAGTCATGATTTTATAGACCTCTCTCATATTCCCCTTACTCTCCTCTTTTCTAAGCTGAAAAGTCACAGTTTTTTAATTCCTCCTCATATGGCAGCTGTTCCAAACCCCGAATCATTTTAGTTGCCCTTTTCTGAACCTTTTCCAATGCCAAGATCTCTTTTTTGAGATGAGACAAACACATCTGCACATAGTATTCAAAGATGTGGGCATATCATGGGTTTATACAGAGGCAATAAGTTATATGGAGTATGTTAGTGCTGGTTGGTAGAAGGAATTAACTTGTTGGGCAAATCTTCACCCAAATGATCAACCTTTCATTTGTTGGAAAACTTTGAAATTTAACATTTGTGGTGTGTTGTAGTTAATTCTTTGTCAGGCAGGAAGCAGAGGATTACTCATGTTTTTGCAGTGATATTATCAATCATGTCTATTACCCCATGACTTGAGGATAAAGTGTCACATGTCACCATTGAAACTTGACTCTCAGCTCCCGTGCATGAACACAGAGCTTTTCTGTCACATTACTCTAAACTTAGGTCCAATATTGAGATGCAAAGTGATTACTCATGCTGCCAGCTGAGCCCTTTCACCAAGTACACTATCAAGGGGATGGTCTTTTTGGGCCTGAAGGAATGAGAATGGAATATGTCTTGGAGAAAAACTATTGAAAAAAAGCCAAACTTGAGAAGAAATCATAGGCTTACGTTTATTCTGTGTTGGTGTTCTTGAGTTACCAATAAGAGAGTACCATAGGAAGGGAACAAATTTAGGACATTGGCTCAGGACCTGAATATGTGACTCAGCCCATTCACAGGGCAAAAATAAAACTTTGCTTCTTTTCTCTTTGAAGCAGCATCTCCTCCAAAGAGGGAGAGTGAGATGTTTACAAATTGGGGAGCTTAGTAACACAATGGGGAAGCTATGATTTGAAATACAAAGCTGCAGATGTATATCCCCAGTGTGGCTGAGCCTAGAAACAAGTTTCCAGATGCTTGCACGGTAGCATAGTATCTCCTGCCTTAACATCACTGGTGCTGTTTTTCTCTTGTATCACATGTTACCTCTCTGTCATGTTCCCAAATCCAGGCAGAACTTGAGTTTCAATCAGTGTGGGGGCAGGTGGTTTTGTGGAGGTCTCTTGGAGAAGAAAGTACAGGCAGTCCCCGGGTTACGTACAAGATACGGACTGTAGGTTTGTTCCTAAGTTGAATCTGTATGTAAGTCGGAACTGGCGTCCAGATTCAGCCGCTGCTGAAACTGACCGCCAG